ACGTGATGTGAGTATTATTTAAATGCATCTGGATAATAATGTCAGATATTTAAACCATATTGGAAGATTTTTGGTGTGAATATGCAGCATACATCAGTACGATTCTGGGTAAATGATTTGGGATCGAATATTGCCTCTTGTGGATGGTGGGCGTTGGTTGACTATAACGCGTCTATTTTTATACTGGGTCTCAACAATACGGTTATTATCGTTATAAAAACTAGATTGAGTTTAGTTAAATTTAATTAAATTATTCTTCATATGCTTTCTCACATTGTGATTAGAATTAATGGCAGCATTTCAAGACCTGACCGCGATTGCCCTTGGATATTCCTGCTTGGCTGTCTTTTTAATATATTTGGATTTATCATAATCTGAATTTTTTTTTTTTTTAATTAAATAGGATCATCTTTTTTTCAATAAACACATTTGAACAAAGAGCAAACTGCCGAAAAGAGATTTTTCACGAATTTGGTCGAATCTGGATCTAAATGATACGATTTCGAATCCTAACTTAGATTCAATTCGTATTTCGGATCAGATCCGAATCTTTAAAAATATTCGCCCGATTCGGTCCGTGCGGAACACTAATCTGAGGTGCCTCAGTTATCACCTGAGGCACAATACTGTATATATATTTTATAAGTTAAGGTTTCTATAGGTTAGGGTTAGAGTTAGGGTCAGGTTGGAGTTAAGTATGGGCATGCCTTTTAGCTATAAGGCATGCCCATGCCCACTGTGCCCGAACCCTAGGTAGCTGATAATCAACGGTTGCCTGCATATCGATATTGAACCTTCTAAAAAAAAAAATCAGGAAATTTAATAGCGATAATCTCTGAAATCTACTTCATAATAACAATAATAATGATAAAGACAATATCTATCTCTATCACTATCTTTATATAGATGTTACCATCTGAGTTTGAATATTCATCCATTTAAAATCATAACGATAAAAATTTTTTTTGGTTAGTTCGGTAATACTAATAAAGGGAATGGGAATTTATACTTTTATTTACTAACGCTAACGCTAATTTTACTTAACGTTAAGTTCATTAATTAAGATACAGATGCCAACATTAACATTAGTGTTAGTAAAATAATCAACTTTCAGATTTTATAATTCATGTTACATACCAAATTATTTTAGAGAAATTTAGTAATATAATTTGAAGAGTATTCTAAAGCCAGTAAATTACAACATACAAAAGAGGTTTTTGATATTATCGTTATGTGAAGATTGTACTATAATGTTGTATATATTACATTATCCAATTACATTATCCAATTTATTGAACAACTTAATGTACCTTCGATATGAGTATTGCCAGGAAAAAAATGAGACTTTGGGCTTTCAATTATATAATGTACTGGAAAAACTCTTATCAGTGATATAAACAATAATACAGTACATAGTTGAACTTCATTTGTGTACTATCATTATATATCACTGATAATTAGGTAAAAGCCCGAATTCTCGTTTTCTCTTGGCTTGATCATATTACAAAATGCGGTTTATCCATAAAACTATTTAATTTCCAAATTTTAAACCGAATATTATAGACCTTTTACAATGTACTGGATGCTCTAGTTGTAATATGGTAAAGCATTTACGCTAGTAAAAATAAGATAAATAAGATACAAATCAGATATATAATATATATATCAGATATATAATATATAATCAGATTCCGATTTGTTGACATTCAGCTGCCACCAGATATAATTTAGATATAATTCAGAATTCTATTTTGAATTATATCTGGTGGCAGCTGTCAACAAATCGGAATCTGATTATATTGATATATATCTAATTGTTTTCTGATTTGTATCTTATCCTTTTTCTACTAGTGTTAGTACTCATAATCCTTATTATTATTGGACAAATTTACAAAATAATCACATGTAAGTCGTTGTTTCATAACTTTGATCCAATATTACGATAGTCGTAGAGAAAAATAAAGTGAATAATTCATAAAAGACAGACTGATGCTATGCTTATATTTAGTTATGCAAATTTTGGTTCTAGAACTTTAATCGAAGTTTTCTTTTATATTACAACATCTATAGAAAAAAAATAAAGCGAATCATCAACTAAAGGTGAACCTACATTTTAGATATACTGAAAGGTTAGCTTCTAGTTCGTGGTGCTACTGTTTAACTAATCATCTATTTATCTATTAAAAAACCGTAAAATCTGCATAATTCTCAATTACTTATTGGAGACAAATAATGAAAAAATAATTTAAATGCTTCATTTAATATTTGTAAAAAAATATATATATATAAATATGATGAAAAATGTATTAATTTGAATATCTCATGTTCTAGTAATCAGAATTGGATAAAATTTATATTATTTGGTTCCTCTCGTTAAGAAGAATCGAATAGTATAAGTTTCATCCGATTCTGATTACAGGATCATAAGATATCCCAATGCCCCCCATCGCTACATATAATACTACTATAATACTCCTCTCACTTATATTTAAACAGTTAACGTTCTGATTTCTGATTGGTTAATACGTATTATGAAATAATAAATTTATGCATTTAGATAGTATTGACTATATTACAATATATATATAGCATATTATACATTACTCTAATTATAACAATATACATATAGGTATTTGGATATAAATCTGTCTATAACAACATTTAATATAAACATATTCTTACATCTAACATCTAACATCTAAACATATCGATATTGGATAATTTCTTTATTTTTGAGTAGAGCGTGACTGAAGGAATTGTAACATGCCATCTATATGCTAAACTTTTTTAAAAAAAATTACAAATTAAAATAAAATGTATTAACTGTTAATAAAACATACGTATTACGTATTACGTACGTACGTCTAAATAAATACAGAAATACGTACTAAAATTGTTCATTTAAAATACGTAATTTATATATGCTGTACGTATGAAATTTCATATAAAATTGTTTGGTTTAAATTTTTTAAAGTTAGATAGGAAAAGTTTTTAGAATTTACTTAGTGCATCACAAAATTCATTAACATCATATATAGATACCAACAGAATTATTAAATCTAAACATAAATAACGTTCATAATAAATAAGTCGTTATTGATCTACCTCCTTCAATATAAAGATAACAAATGAGTGTTACAGTTTATCATACGTATCGGAGAGAATATAGTTACACGCCGTGCAGGGTTGATAATTGAGCCAATGAAGTTAATATGTATTCCATTCATACCATTGGATTAACTTTATACATTTTATACATTAGTAAGCGTATCTTTTTTCTTTTTATAGGCATATTTTTTAACCAAAATCGTTTATAAAATTTTTTAACTACGTACATGTATGAATTTATATAAAAAAAATTTGAATTAAGTTATCATAGGTCAAAGTTTCGGTACAATTTCTTTTTTAATAATAGTTTAAAACTTTTAAAACTTGGAGCACAGATATCTCTAACATTATTACTAATTCAAAAATAATGAAAATACGTAATGAAAATTTATTTATATTAGCATTAATTCAGTTAACGGTTAATTCAAGAATTAAATTTGGATAGCCCCAATGGATAGGATGTGCCAACTTTGACTCCGGGCATTAATCAAGATTAACTATATAGTTATACGTACAATGGTAACGGTACAAATCATGTGAAGTGTAGATATATAGAAAGCTGTCAAACTTTGTACGATCGGGGTAAATAAATATGTAAGACATGATTGGCAATCTGCTTTTATCTGTTATCGTTATAGGTCATTTTCATAAATAATATTCGAAAGTGTAATTTTTATTAATTGAATGCGATAAGAAAAGTTTGCATAATTGGATTTTTTTTATTGATCAATTGATCATATTGATCATGTTGTTCATATTGTTCATAATTGATTACGGAATCCAAGGAAATCACAACAGGTAATAGACAATAAAATGCTACACGTATAGTACAACATATCGATATGTGTATGTTTATTGAGTCAATAAAGAAATAAGGTTTGGTACACGCGTTCCTTCGAGACTTTATGTGATCACAAGAAAAACTGGCCACTTTGACGATTTTGATCGATCGACGTAGCAAATAAAAATTTTAACACCTGTAAAATTTACGACGTACGTAAATGTAAAGCCTCAAATATTTATTATCTCCAGCCAATTTAACAATTTGAACAATTGAACAATTTGAACAATTTGAACAATTTGAATAATTTGAATAATTTGAATAATTTGAATAATTTGAATAATTTGAACATGGTGTCCACGTGTCAAGACAAAATATGGTCTTCTGCATATAATTGGCATATAATTGGCATATAGTGATAATTGAGCGGTGAAAATATGAAACGTTTATTTGTTAATTAATGTTTGAAAAATTTGCTTTAATTTTTTTTTTTAATTTGATTCTTAATATTTTTGTGTACGTACGTACGTACTAGTTTATATATACCTTATCGGGTGCCACGTTTTGATAATGAAGCATCTTGTATCGGCAAGAATTGAAAGAATTAAAAATAAAATACAATAAAATTCTTTTTTTTGTACAAATTTATGATAATCTGGGATCAATCTGGAATTAGCTCTTGCAGCTCTACTCCTGAAAGTTTTGTCAATATTTGTGCAGATTCTTCGGTGTTACGAACAGCGGACTTTGAAAAGCTGGAAACTCCTTGGTTCAAGCAAGTGTCAAACTGTTATCTCATAGGTTGGTTTTTAGATGTTGTGGCTTATTTCTTAATTTTTGATATTATTATTATATACGTCACCACATATCAAATTCGAGCAAAATTCCGCCCAACGAAACTAGGAAATAAAAAAAAAAAAAAAGACGCGGCTACACAATGTAAGCTGGAGCACTTTATAAAAATAGTTTTGTATTTTTTTCGAACTTCTATTCCCTGACTATCATTACTATTTTATGTTTAGTTTCTATATTAAGTAGCCGTTTCTTCTTCCTCTTAATAAAATCAACTTGCTCCGCTCCGTGTGCAAATCATCAAAAGGTCCTTGCCAACATGGAGCGGGATACTTACGCTCTATATCATACTTTGGGTGTACAAAAAACTGCTACCGAAGAAGAAATTAAAAAAGCATATAGACGTTTAGCATTAAGATACCACCCGGATAAAAATCCAAGTGCTACCGATCAGGTTCGTTATTTCTCTATTTATTAGGTCTGAAATACCTTAGTGCCTAGTAAAAATATGTTTAACCGTATTTACAATAATTTCCAATATTTCACAAAATTTCACAAAATTTCATGTTTAAATATTACCTATCCTACTTTTTTTTTTAATACTTTATACATATTACATATATATATCTCTTTTTTATATCTTTATATCTTTCCATTCTTTCCATTTTTTCCAAAATTACAAAAGTTCAAGGCCATTACTCATGCTTATGAAATCCTAAGCGATCCAAAAAAGCGTCAAGTGTACGATAAATATGGAGAGATGGGAATTAGTATGCTGGATTCTGTAGCCGGTTTCCTGCTAGATCCTGACATTCAAGGACCATTATGCTTGCTATTCACCATACTTTCAATTCTGATTATCCTCATGATCCTGTTTTTCGTCTTCTTATCAATACAAATAGATGGTTCTGTATCATGGAGTTATGGTGTTGTTTTCATACCAATATGGATCGAAGATGCTCTTTTATTTTTTGTTTTTATTGCTTATGCAAATGCAAGAAAAGATTCTTCGGAAATTGATGATGATGATTATGAAGGTCTATATCATCAAGATCCTGAGGTTAGAGAACAAGCTAGGGAAGCTAGGCGAAAACAACTAAGAGCTCTCTCAAGGACAAGGAATTTTTTATATAATGTTTATTTGGTAATGATCTTATTATTTCAAGTTTTTATCGTTCTTCGAGCTGATTCTATAATAACATGGAAAGCCGCTATGATATTTGCTCCTTATTTTGTTGTCGAGGCTATCAACTTATATCCTACTTTCTTGGTTTATTTGGATCGCTTAAAAACTCCTATAGTCCTTGATGTCAATGGCAATCCTTCTCTTTATCTTAAGTTTAAGTGTTTCTTTGATACTTTTTGGTGGTTTGCCATTCGTGTTTCTCTTGCCATTTTAATCGTACTCAAAATTGATCAAATTCTCATTTGCGATTGGGCCGTTATTTTCATCCCATTATATCTAGTTGGTATTAGATATGGTTTGCAAATTTTATGGCTATGGTGGAATTTAAGGAGAACTGAACCTTTACAAAATAAGGGAAGAGTGGATGTCATTGTTGGTGCCGTTTCATTTATCATTGTGGGTTCATTATCTTATATTGTTATAGGATTATTAGCTAGTAGGTTGGATGGTAATACGGGAATAAAATTATCTTCAATCTTGATTCCTGTATTTATCACTTTATCTCTCATCTTTTGTTGTACGGGATGCTGTTTACCTTGTGCTCTCTTAGCATGGAATGTGGATGATCTTGAAAATGGTTCGGATTCTGCGTTTAAAACTCATGATAAACGGATTACTTATCCTACAGCGGCTGGTCCAAGTACTTCATTTGCTAGTGGTAGCAATGAAACTGTATAATATTCAATTATTAAAAAATTATGATTTAATTATGATGCCGATTACTACTGTTGCGATCTTTTGCGATCTTCGGCTGTATAGTAGATTTAGATATAATATTTCTTTTTCTCGGCACTATCTTTATAAAAAAAAACCTTTGTTAATTTTTTCTTCATGATGTATATTAATAATTACGCAAATTAAGCAATCTTTTAAAAAAATTTTAGACAATATTGAAAATTTAGATTTTTTTTCTTTTTTTTTGAATTGTCGATATTCATGAACTCAGGTATTTATTTTATTTTTTAGTAAACTTCAAGACTATTCGCAATCATTAAAATTGAAAATTTTTACAACGAAGAACTTTATAATATTTTTATTTATTACAGTATTATTACACAGTATTATTACGCAGTATTATTACACAGTATTATTACACAGTATTATTACACAGTATTATTACACAGTATTATTACACACAGTATTATTACACAGTATTATTACAGTATTATTATTATTATTATTATTGTTTTTTTCTTTTTTTTTTTTTTCTTTTTTTTGTGTAATGTGTTTTTTTGTATGGGATTTAGTTAGACATATTCATAATCATTCGTTTATTTAACATCTCGATCATAAATTCCTTTTATATTGTATATTGAAAAAAAAAAAATCGATTAGATAATTGATAACTGATAATATAAATCAAAATTTTTTAACAACCTTCTACGTATACGTACGTATAGTTAAATTTTCTTTGATTATTAAATATTTATGGTAACGGATTTTACCATTCATTTCAACTTCCCTAAACGTCGAATATTGAACACGAGAAGGTCACGAGACCATAACAATGACGAAATTCTAATTTTAGTTTTAGGTAATTGATTGGTTGAGTATCGGCTTTTTTTTAAACATTCTATTGGTTCAAAGTAATGTATCAAGATCGAAGCAGAGCATTCCTAAAATTTCATAATAACGAATCAACTCTTCTTACAAACTGATTGTTATTAAAAAAAAAAAATAAAAAAAAAGAATAAATTAGTATATGTGCGAGTTCTTTGTGACAAGCATATTGTAAAATATTATTGAAAAGATTCCCCTTTACAATATATAAATTTAGCCTGGTGATACGGCCTAGATCACCCGTATTGCAAACTCTGGCTGCAAAGTGATTCACCTTGTTTAAAGATCGTCTGTCTTTGAACTTTGATCGTGCTTGTAAAGTCTTTATTACATCAATAGCGTACGACTTTTTATATCACGTCATAACGTCTCATATGGCCATGGAGGTTAAACAACGCCGTGTGAAAGTGTACCAACTGAGTAGGGAAAGCGAATGGTTGGACAAAGGTACCGGCTTTTGTACCTGTTTAGTTAACGAGGTAGGATCGCTTTCACTCTTTATGTTTTAAACTGAAATGACTTCTGGATACTGTTTGCCTGTATTTTTTGGTCAAACAAGCCCCGAGAATTACCTATATTTAGTTACCTCATTAGTCACTGCTTTAATCGTGAATTCACAACTTGGTTTCGGCTTACTGGTTTAAATATCTTCATTAATTTAGGCAAAGGATGATGCATGTATCATCGTCCGTTCTGAAGAGGATACCACCGTTTTATTACTGAACTCTCGTATAATGAAAGATCATGATTATCAAAAACAACAAGGTAACTCTATTAATTGATTTCAGTATTTAAATTTTATTTTTTTCTGATGTTAATTTTTATATAACAGACACATTAGTAGTTTGGACTGAACCTAACGGATTAGACTTGGCTTTAAGTTTTCAGGAAGCTGAGGGTTGTACAGAAATATGGTGCGGTATAGAACATGCATGTTTCAGATAAAAAGAATTTTA